ATGAGGAAGAGAGAGGGGAAGTCTCCTGACCCTGAGGATATGATTGAGGCAGTTCAGGATGAGTGGGGGGGTAAGGAGAGGTTAGGGATTAGGTGAAGATGAGGGTTGAGTTGAGGTGGGGGAAAAGAGGGAACATGAAGGTCGAGGTGAGGTTGTGAGGGGTGAAGGGTAAAGTAAAGGGTGAGGGAAGGTAAAGGGTGGGGTGAGGCGAGGTGAGGGGAAAGTAAGAGGTGAGGGAGGAAGTAAGAAGTGAGGGGGAGCTGGTCAAGGTGAGTGAGATTTATGAAGTAAAGTTAAAAGTTCCCCTCCCTCTCTTCCCCTCCCACCCTCTCTCTCTCTCTCACACCTTTCCACCTGCTTACCTCCCATTTACTCCCCTTCTCTTCCCCATCCCCCCATGAGACACCCACCATAGGTTGTCTTGTTCTATTGCACCTGATTGGCTTCTCCCGAGCCCCACCTGTGTGTGTGTGTTTGTGTGTGTGTGTGTGTGTGTGTGTGTGTGTGTGTGTGTGTGTGTGTGTGTGTGTGTGTGTGTGTGTTTCATTACTGCAATAACCACTCGGGTAAGACAACGAGACTACCATTAACGAGTCACCATGCCCATTCGAGACTTAAAATCAATAAACTTCCTCCTATTCCCTATAAAGTAAGGTGTACATGCGCCAAGCTCCTGGGATGTGTGTTGAGCAGAAGTTAAGTCGGTAAGAGGGAACGAAAGACACGCACACCCTCATGGAGAGACAGAGTTGGGTGTGGGTGAGGGGTAAACGTGGGGTGTAGAGATGGGTGTGGGTGAGGGGTAAACGTGGGGTGTAGAGATGGGTGTGGGTGAGGGGTAAACGTGGGGTGTAGAGAGGGTGGGGTGTAGGGGTGGGTGAGAGGGTAAATGGGGTGTGGGTGTGGGTGAGGTAAACGATGGGTGTGGGTGAGGGGTAAACGTGGGGTGTAGTGATGGGTGGGGTGAGGGGGGGGGTAGAGATGGGTGTGGGTGAGGGGGGACCGGGGTGGGGTGAGGGGTAAACGTGGGGTGTAGAGATGGGTGTGTGGGTGAGGGTAAAGGGTGTGGGGGTGGGTGAGGTGTGGGTGGGGTGTGGGGTGAGGGGTGTAGAGATTGTGGGTGAGGGTAAACGTGGGGTGTAGAGATGGGTGTGGGTGAGGGGTAAACGTGGGGTGTAGATGGTGATGGGGTGGGTGAGGGGTAAACGTGGTGGTGTAGAGTTGGGTGTGGGTGAGGGGGGGTGTAGAGATGGGTGAGAGGTGGTGTAGAGATGGGTGTGGGTGATGGTGGTGTAGAGATGGGTGTGGGTGAGGGGGTAAACGTGGTGAGATGGGTGTGTGAGGGTAAAGTGTAGGTGTGGGTGAGAAAATGTGTAGAGATGGGTGTGGGTGAGGTAAACGTGGTGGTGTAGAGTGGGTGGGGGGGGTGAGGGTGGTGGTGTGGGATGGGTGGGTGAGGGGTAAACGTGGTGGTGTAGAGATGGGTGTGGGTGAGGGTAAACGTGTGTAGAGATGGGTGAGGGTGGGTGTGTGAGGGTAATGTGTGTAGAGATGGGTGTGGGTGAGGGGTAAAGTAGATGGGTGTGGGTGAGGGTAAACGTAAACGTGGGTGTAGAGATGAGGGTGGGTGGGATAGATGGGGTGAGGATTCAAAATAGAAGTGTGAATATAGGCGGTATCTGGTGGTAAGATCGAATGAGGGTGACTGTATATATACGTGGGAGGCAGGATGAGTCTCACACACACAAGTAAGAAAAGTTAGTAATGCACTTGACACACACACACACACACACACACACACTTCTACACGTCCACACACACCCACCACGCACCCTACATGCCCCCACACCCCAGCCACGTCCTCTACACGTCCCCACACACCCATCCACACCCCTACACGTTTCCACACACCCACCCACATCCCTACACGTCCCCACACACCCACCCACGCACCTCTGCACGTCCCCACACCCCACGCCCCCCACACGTCCCCACACACCCACCCACGCACCCCACCCGTCCCCCCCACCCACGCCCCTCTACGTCCCACACCCCCACCCACGTCCCTCTACACGCCCCACACACCCACCCACGTTCCTCTACACGCCCCCAGACACCCACCCACGTCCCCCACACGTCCCCACACCCCCCACCCACGTCCCCCACACGCCCCCACACCCCCACCCACGCACCCCCACACGTCCCCACACCCCACCCACGCACCTCTACACGCCCCCACACACCCACCCACGTCCCTACACGCCCCACACCCCCACCCACGCCCCTCACGTCCCCACACCCCCACCCACGTCCCCCACACGTCCCCACACCCACCCATGTCCCTCGTACCCACCACACGTCCACGTCTACACGTCACCACACCCCCACCCACGTCCCTCTACACGTCCCACCCCCCACCCACGTCCCTCACGTCACCCACGTCCCTCTACACGTCCCCACACCCCACCCACGTCCCCACACACGCCACACGTCCCCACACCCACCACGTCCCCACACCCCACCCACGCCCACGCACGTCGTCCCACACCCCACCCACGCACCAACATTGCCCCCATTGCTCCTAATGAAGTCTGCCTTTACGTTAGTGTGTACCTGTAGTGGAAAACCTGGTTGTACAATTAGTGACTTGGCTGAGCTGGAGGGAACAGTAACTGTGCTGTTGAGACCTGGCAGGACATCACACAGATGAGGCAAGTTTGTACTCCTGTCGTGTAAACAACTAACTAATTGTGTTGAAGGTGAGTATGGTGGAGGTGGGGGGTTGTGGTGGAGGTGAGACTGGTTGGTGTGACGGAGGATGGTGAAGGTGGGTTGTGAATGTTACGGTGGTAGAAATCGGTTGTGGTGGAGTGTTGTGGAGGTAGTTGATTGTGATGCAGGTAGGGAAGGTGGGGGAGGGGGGCAGGAAAGGTGGGAGGGGCAAAGAAAGGTGAGAGGGGGGCAGGGAAAAGGTGGGAGGCGGTCAGGGAAAGGTAGGAGGGGGGGGCAGGGAAAGGCTGGAGGGGCAGTTAAAGGTGGGAGGGGGTTGTATGATTATGAAAAGGAGTTGAAGGTTGAAGGAACAGTGAGCGATGGCGACGGACTAAGAGGACGTGAAATAAACCGTGAAGAAAGGAGAGTAAGTGCGGAAGGGAGAGCAAATGAGGAACAGAGGGAGGAAAGGAGAGTGAATGAGAGAAAGAGAAAGAGAGAGGGAAGGCAGTGCATGAAAAGAGGAGGATAGTGGGTGAGGGGAAGTAGGGGAGGAGGTGGACAGGTTGCATAAGGAGACAGTGTTACGCAAGCGATTGTTGGGGGCCCAGGATGGTACGACCCCCCCTCCCCTCCCCACCACCAGGTTGTAACCCTCGCCTCGTGACCCAAGGCAAGCCGATTTCCAGGAAAATGCGAGGAAAACAACGGAGAAGGCGCTGTGTTTACAAAGAGGAAAATTAAGATAGAAATAGGAAAGAAGAGAAAAATGGAAAGATAGATTAGATACAGACAAACATAATGCGTTTTTTTTGCGTGTGTATGCATGTGTGTGTGTGTGTGTGTGTATGTGAGCATATATATATATATATATATATATATATATATATATATATATATATATATATATATATATATATATATATATATATATATATATATATATATATATATATCTTTGTAAATATTGCACTGAATAGGATCACACTTGTTTCCTCCCAGGCTGGTGGAAGGCACAACAATAGGTCTAGACTAGACTATAGGAAGCCATGGAGTAGCGTTAGCATGAATGACTGTGATGCTCCCTAGAACATCGTGTTATGAAACAGTGTTACCTCACCTGAACAGGACCCCATAAGACTCTCGCTCTCCCTCTCAAAATACCTTTACTCCTCGGTCTATACAGGTAAGTCACTTACCCCAGAAGCCGCGAGAGAACTGTGGTGTGTGATCTGATAACACTGATTCAATCATCATTTTGCATCGTCTCTCCAGCACTAAAAGGTTAATACTTCTGCTTTTATTATATTGCCATCAGGTGTCTTTAATCTCCACTAATGCAGAAAGTTAATTAATTTTATCAAGGGAACGAGAGTAATGTCTTACTTGAGTATTATATTTTACGAGATTAAACTTCTATACGTAATAGTCTTGTTAATATTGTCTATATGAGTTCCATTGCCATTATTATTATTATTATTATTATTATTATTATTATTATTATTATTATTATTATTATTATTATTATTATTATTATTATTATTATTATTATTATTATTATTATAATTATTATTATTATTATTATTATTATTATTATTATTATTATTATATTATTATTATAATTATTATTATTATTATTATTATTATTATTATTATTATTATTATTATTATTATTATTATTATTATTATTATTATGTATCTTGTCAAGCCAACCTCCTCCGAAATGATCCCTTCTCCCAACTCAACCTAACCTAACTCAACCTAACCTAACCTAACCTAACCTAACCTAATTCAACTACTGTAAACTCACTGTAACCTAACCTGACTTAATCATTCTTCTTTCTTACTTATTTTATCTCTTCACTTTTTGCCTCCTTCATTTGGACCTTTCTTTTCTCCCCCTCACCTCCCCACACCCCCACCTTCCCACACCCCCACCCTCCCCACACCCCCCCCCACCTCCCACACCCCCCTCACCTCCCCCACACCCCCACCTCCCCCACACACCCCACCTCCCCCACACACCCCCCACCCCACACCCCCACCTCCCACACACCCCTCACCTCCCCCACCCCTCCCCCACCTCCCCACACCCCCACCTCCCCCCACCCCTCACCTCCCCCCACCCTCACCTCCCCCCACCCCTCACCTCCCCACACCCCTCACCTCCCCCACACCCCTCACACTCCCCACACCCCCACCTCCCCACACCTCTCACCTCCCCCACACCCCTCACCTCCCCACACCCCTCACCTCCTCACTCCAGCTGATCTGGTTTTCTCCCACAGGTAGCAGTCCCCCAGCAGTCTGGTCAATGGTGTTTTCTTTCCATGTGTTCCGTAAGAGCGCCCCGAATGGCAAGGTGTCGGTGTACGTGGGCAGGCGGGACTACACCGACCACCTCACCCACGTAGACCCTATAGGTAATGCCTCTCACCTCTCACTTCTCACCTCTCTCACCTCTCACTTCACCTCTCACCTCTCACTCCTCACTTCTCACTTCTCACTTCTCACTTCTCCTTCTAACCTCTCACCTCTCACTTCTCACTTCTTCCTCCTCACTTCTCACTTCTCACTTCTTATCTCTCACTTCTCACTTCTCACTTCTCAACTCTCTAACCTCTCACCTCTCACTTCTCCTCTCACTCCTCACTTCTCACCTCCTTCTCACTTCTCACCTCTCCCTTCTCTCCACTTCTCACTTCCTCTCACTTCTCACTTCCTTCCTCTCACTTCTCACTTCTCACCTCTCTCTCACTTCTCAATTCTCACCTCTCACTTCTCACTTCTCACCTCTACTTCTCTCTCCCTCTCACTTCTCACTTCTTCCTCTACTTCTCAATTCTCACCTCTCTCCTTCTCACCTCTACTTCTCACCTCTACTCTCACTTCTCAATTCTCACCTCTCACTTCTCACTTCTTACCTCTCACTTCTCACTTCTCTCACTTTCAATTCTCACCTCTCTTCTAACCTCTCACCTCTCACTTCTCCTCTCTCTCTTCTCAATTCTCACCTCTCACCTCTCACTTCTCCTTCTTACCTCTCACTTCTCACTTTTTCACCTAACCTCTCCTCACTTCTCACCTCTCACCTCTCCTTCTCACCTCTCCTTCTTACCTCTCACTTCTCACTTCTAACCTCTCACCTCTCACTTCTCCTTTTTTACCTCTCACTTCTCACTTTTCACTTCAACCTCTCACCTCTCACTTCTCACCTCTCACTTCTCCTTCTCACCTCTCACCTCTCACTTCTCACCTCTCCTTCTCATTTCACCTCCACCTCTCACTTCTCCATTCCTCTCACTTCACCTCTCCCTCTCCTTCTCACTTCCCCTCTCACTTCTCACTTCACATCTCTCACCTCTCATTCTCCAATTCTCACCTCTCACTTCTCACTTACACCTCTCACCTCTCCCTCACCTCTACTTCTCCTTCTCCCTCTCACTTCTCACCTCTCACTTCTCCTTCTCCCCTCTCCCCTCTCACCTCCACCTCTCCTCTCACTTCTCACTTCTCCCTTCCCACCTCTCACTTCTCACTTCCACCTCTCCCCTCTCACCTCTCCCACCTCCCACCTCTCACCTCTACCTCTCACTTCTCCTTCACCTCTCACCTCTCACTTCTCACTTCTTACCTCTCACCTCTCACTTCTCACTTCCACACCTCTCACTTCTCACCTCTCACCTCTCCCCTCCACACCTCTCACCTCTCCTCTCCTTCTCACTTCTCACCTCTCACCTCTCACCTCTCACTTCTCCTTCTTACCTCTCACCTCTCACTTCTCAACTCTCACTTCTCACCTCTCACCTCTCACCTCTCACTTCTCACCTCTCACCTCTCACCTCTCACCTCTCACCTTTGCTATTTATACCACGAGTGACAATCCTCACATCTCGTATAAATGCAGATTAAGAATAAGTGGATTACATGAAGATCAGTTCTCCCCTGTTTATTTCACCTTAAGATTAACCACCCTTAACCTTAACCTAACCTAACCTAACAAAACCTAACAAAATCTGCCCTAACCTAACGCAACGTAACCTAATCTGACCTAACAAAATCTACCCTAACCTAACGCAACGTAACCTAATCTGACCTAACACCGCTCCGGTAGCGTTAAGGTAATTCAATCATCAGGTGAAATAAGTGTGGAGGGGTTAACCTTCATGTGATACAAATGTTTAATATCAATTTCTAAACGCTTTTGTAGTTATATAGTCTCTGAAAGGTCACCGTAGTTTAATAGTAGAAATTAATTATCTCGATCTTAGTTACTCTTTCAACATGTTTATTTAATCTCTTTGAATTAATGTATTTTTACCTGTTTGGTTTTAATTTACCATTTAGTTTAGTTTATTTTTTCATCATTTATCAACTTACGAGTCGTTCAGGCAGTTGTCTATTGTTATGAATTTTATTGTCCGGTGTTATTGTTGGAGGAAAACTGCGATGTTTGCTAGGTCACACTGGATAACACTTCTCAAGTGTGTACGGGCCAACGCTCGAACACGTGACACATTATGAGCGATACATGTGTTGCTGCTGTACACTTCACAAGTCAGAAACCCCTTGATACCCAGACTCCCCATAGCCAATTGGAGCCTTATACCTCAATATTTAATGAACAGTGTTGGTAAATCCCTCATCTAACTCTCTTGTAGTATTAAGTGGGTGTTCTGTGGGCGACGTCTACATTGAAGTACCATTTATTGGTTGTCTGGGAGGTCCAATGAGGGCTTCAGCCAACCTGGGGTACTGTATGGGTGTGGGCGTGGTTACTGTGGGTGTCATCCAAACTGGGGTTGTGTTTTGGGTGTTACCGAGGTTATCATTCAAAGTGCGATCCCTCTGGGTGGTGTCCAGTGAGTGTAATTTCACAGACATCTCTCATTAATTAAGAATATTGCATAAATACTACAAGAGAGAATCAAGGTGTGAATGGCACTGTAAAAGAGTGTGAGGTGGCACCATAACAGTGTGGGTGGCTCTATAACAGAGTGGGTGGCACTGTAACAGAGTGTGGGTGACACTGCAACAGTATGTCAGTGGCACCGCGTTGATGAGGTGTCACTGTGCCACAGACGGTATGGTGTGGTTGGAGAAGGACTACGTGAAGGATCGTCGGGTGTTCGCACAGGTGGTGATGACCTACAGGTACGGGCGGGAGGAGGACGAGGTGATGGGCCTCACCTTCGCCAGGGAGGTGGTGGTGGCATCCGCCCAAGTCTACCCTCCAGCTCCTCTCCCTGCTGGACCTACCAGCCTGCAGGTGGGTACTAATACTCACACACTCACACACACACCCGAGATCCCTCGTCTGAGAATTGCTGTTCGACACCACAACTGCATCCAGCCCATACGAACACGAACTGATCGCTATAAGAACAGCCCAGTCCCAACCATTGTAAAAATTATCAGTAACTTGTAATCAACCAGTATATTCACTCCCAGTCAAACTTACTTTTTGCACTGTCACTATGTTGAAATGCCCTGTAGTATGACCTTCTCCCCTCCTAGTCATTATATATCAGATTTGTATCACTTATGTTACTTGTATATTATTTGTAAACCAAGAGACCCATTCCTCAATTGTGTAACTGTATATTTTCATCCTTCCGGCTGCCATGCTCTTTCAATAAACCTTTAATTATTATTATTATTATTATTATTATTATTATTATTATTATTATTATTATTATTATTATTATTATTATTATTATTATTATTACACACACCCCTCGACTACGTGTAAAAAAATAAATATTTCTCTTCTCAACAGTTCACCTTTAATCGTAAAATCCTTGTATAGTACATAAATAGAAAAGAAAACATTCTTTAGACACCCCCCCCCCTATTGCCTCAGATTATTTGAGCCATAAAATAAGTGAACACCTGTGAATAGTGAATAAGTATTGTCATGTCAGTGTCCTGCTGTGTGTCATGCTTACCGTTGCTTTCTGTGTTTTTAAGACTTCTCAGCTTGACCTATCCATTACAGTCAGATAATAAGGTAACCAGGCTTTTAACGTTAAAATATTGTTATCATACGATTCTTTTCCTCCGGATCTGTCCATTTTGCTCCGATTAGACCCATTTCAGTGCGATTCGATCTGGTTCAGTCAAATTCGCTAAGTTGTGATCATTTTTGGTCATTCTCGGTCTGACTAAGCATTTACATGTACCCAAGTACTGTACTTCTTTTTTATTAAATTTCTCTTGAAGTGTATTGGTGCTATAGAAGCCTTTTAGAAGTCCCGAGTCAATAGTAGGTCTAAATTAGGTTTGTCTTGTGCAAACCCCGCTGCAGGTTGCGTCAGTTCGTCTCTGATCGTGTTGTCTCCACCTACAGGAGCGGCTGCAGAAGAAGCTAGGGACCAACTCATATCCCTTCCACCTGGAGCTCCCTAGAAACGCCCCGGCCTCTGTCACCATACAGCAAGGTATGTAAGTGTGTGTGCGTTAGCGTCTGTGTTTGTTATCATACGGCTGTGTGTGTGTGTGTGATTAAAGTTGGTGTGTGCGATAGGTCACTAAAGTGTTGGCATGTGTGTGTTTGACAGGGAAGGAGGAGACAGGTCGACCATGTGGGGTACACTGGGAGTTGCGGGTGTTTGTGGGCACCAGCAACGACGAGCAGCCTCACCGCCGCTCATGTGTCAGGCTCCTCGTCAGGTAGGTCCTCTCCCCCTCTCTTTTGATAAGCTGACTAATCAGTTGTATAATCTAATACTAACCATTTTGATATGGAAACATATTGGCCTCACACACTACCACTTACACTGAATTAATTATCTTACAAACATAAGCTAATCTCAGTTAAAATTGCTATTGTCAAACAAACAGAGAATTGTCAGACAAATAATGACCGATTGAGTATGATGTGTGTCTCGGCAGGAGGATGCAGTACGCCCCGGCTAAACAAGGTCGTCAACCTATGGCCTCCTGTGCCAAGGAGTTCCTGCTCTCTCCTGGCAAACTGCACCTCCAGGTCACCCTCGACAGGCAGGTCAGTATCCTATCCTAGATTGGCAGTTCAGTGTCCCAAGTCACTCTATATAAGAAGATCAGTACCAGTATCTCAGTTAATTCTTGGTAGTCACGTCAAATGTTACAAGTAGGTCAGTACCGTAGCTCACTCAAGGTGTGTATATAGTTTTGTACTAATATTTCTGAATATGTACGTTATTGTGCGTTATACGGTGTGGCCGTTCTTATACATATCTATCCGGCTTCTAAATGTGGTTTTTGGTAGGAACAGATTAGTGTGTACAGTACAAAAGCAGCCAGAGTACTTCCGTCCCAACAATTTTTTTTTTTTTAATCGGCAGAAAACGTCGGATGTAGAACAATATTATGTTTTTATAACCATCGTCACTCTAAACACAACACTCGTTTTCGTGTTTATGTAGAGAAGCAAGTATGTTGTAGACTTGCTAGGTATAGGTAAAGTTGGTAGTAAGGAAGAGCTGGCAAGATCATGCGTGATCTACCACCGTGAAGACTGAAGGTGACGTTATCGCCATACTAAAGTACCAGGAATAATTTTTGTGATAGAGGGGTTGTGAGGGTTGCTGGGGAGATGGGAGTGGGAGGAATGAGGATGAAAATGGGAAGCTATAACAATTAGACAAAAGTAAACGAAAAAATAAAATAACAAGCAGAAGATAAAGCGAGAATAGACGGGAAGAACGAGGAAGTGATAGACAGAGAAAGAGGAAGGAAAAGTAGGAGAGAAGGAAAACAATAAAGAGTGTAGAATAAAGCAGGATAGATGCATGAGAGAGGAAGGGTATGAGGGAGACGCAGCAGTGACGGGAGGAGTGAGACAGAAGCCTTACAGGGAACCTCGACTTAACATACAATCTTGTTGACATACTTTTAATTCATATTCATATCGTCCGTATGAGAATCATAACGACATGCGTGTTCTATAAAGGAGTTTCCGAGTTACGTCATCCAAGTCCTTTATATCTTCATGGTCTTTTCCTTTTAATGAAATTAGTATGCCTGATGTAGCTAAACCTCTTCGTGACTTCTGACCGTCCAGCTGACTTTGCTTACTATAAATAACTTAGTAACCTTGATGATGCTACGAGACGGTGGGTGACCCTAGGCTGGCTGCGTAAAAAAAAATAATAAATAATTACTCTCGAATCCAGTCCTCACTGTTTCTAACTCAATTAGAAAAAGGTTCATTTGTAAGTTCTTTCACCAAGGTATTGATTATATTTTCCTTGACCCAGGTGCCTTTACTATGTTGAGGATCTGGAGAGCCACGACGAACTGTACAGTGAGCTGGCAGCGCTATGGAAATATATCAGTCAGTTACAAGAAGGAAGATAAGCACGAAATCCTATTATAAGAAGAAGCAGTTGTGTTGAATGATTCGATTTTGTTCCTCAAATTGTTCAAAACCTTCAACATTCTGAAATAAATATATAATAAATCTTCCTCGAGTTGTGTTGTAAAACATTCTATCTATTTAAGTTTTTTAGATCATTATTATTTTTTTCAAATATCAAAATAATTTTCCTGTATAAATGGTTACAGTACCATGATTTCTGGTTTATGTCTTACTTTTTCGAGATATACCCGTAACTTTTTTATTATCACTTCCAAAATTTGGATTGTAAAAATGGCCCATTTTACAATGAAAAACTTTCTTGTCCGTGTCCTCTTGCGGCAAACAGTGAACACTACATTCTTCAATATCACAGTAACAGGAGAAAGTGGTTAGTTCAGTCCTGTGGCTTGATGCCTGAAGCTACTGTGACATTGATCCAATGACCAAGTGAATGTATATATTAAATCCACACGGGACCTCTTACACTGAATATAATGATTGGCAGGTGGGACCATAGTCCCCTTTATAAGAACATGTCGTTTCCTGGTTGAAAGTGTATATTAGGAAGTGGACCATGAAATTTTTATGCGGTTATCTTTGACACCCTCGCCATGACTGCTTCAGATGGTATCGTTGTTTACATTTGTGGTGGATGTGAAACATATCCACCAAAAATATAACCACCACTGCTTCTCATCCACCACCATCATGTAAGCAACAACTTTTCTCGACCTTGAGCTTCATAATCACCAGAACAGCCATGACTCAGCACCCTCACACTTGTTCTACTTTAGATCTACTACCACGAGGAGGCGATCGGGATGACTGTGAACGTGACGAACAACTCCAACAAACAGGTGAAGAAGGTGAAGGTGAGCGTGGTGCAGCTGTGTGACGTGTCGCTGGGACCCACCGGCCAGATCAGAAACACCATCTGCAGCATCGAGTCACAGTTAGTTCCAGTGCTTTTTGTTTTGATTAATCAATATTCAATTACAATTTGATCCGTTTGCTGTTTTTTTTTTTTAATTACAGAGGTCATACAGTTAACGAACTTTTAAATCTTGTTTTGAGGGTTAGGACAGATTAGGGAAAACATATACTGTAATTTGATATCCAGCACAAAAAACAACACGATGTAAACATCTTGTGGTACAGATGCACTGTTACAAACTACAACGATGTGGGTCAGTGACCTGTGCCCGGGTGGCTAATCCCCGTAAAAAAAGTACTGGTGTTCACACCCTCCAGTGTTATCCTTAATACATTTGCAAGGAGCGTGAGTAAACAGCGGCTGCCTGTGGTAATCGTAGTTATATCGAAAAGTGCACAGAAACCTTTGATTAACATTCCTCGTAACTGAAGACGTAGAAGAATTTATTAGTAGACTTTATCCACTTACCCCGTCACTACGAGGACATCACTTTTAAATTTTATTTGGCTAACGCCAGACGATTTTATTCAGCTCAGAGACGACACCGTACACAAGAGGTTATTTGGTTACCAAATTTGGGCATAAAATTATCGAATAAAAATAACAAAAAGTTCGCTGACTACCTCCCTTACCTAGTTATGTTCACTGTCAACCAGTCAGGAGACATAACTAAGGGACAGAATTCTGTTAAAAGATTCTGTATACGACAGTTTTATATTCTACTTGGTGGTGTTAAGTGATCAAACGAGCATCAAGTTAAGGATCATTAACAATGAAAGTTTTATAAGTCACTCAGGTTTATTTCCATATCCTCAATTATATTAATTATTCGTCGTAATTACCTTCGTGAATCTGGACCCCTGACCAGTTTGTCTCTCCAAGGCGCCATCGTCACACAGGATGCTCGCAACAAGCCGTGACTTTTTTCCTCGAGTTCCTTGACCATAACAGTTGCTATTGTGAGAACGTGGAGATGAGTGAACCTGCTATCCGGTCCAGTGTGAGAACTCTTACTGGTTCACGAACATCTAGAAGAAAAAACTGAAGCAAAACCAATACAGTGGATGCCATGAGTTAACTGATAAATATCTCGGCAAATTCGACCTTGACTGTTGAGTGACTGATTCATCGTTAATTTGTGACCTTCAAGAAAAACAACAAATAAAATTGGCAAGACACTGACTGACCTTGGTGACGGGAAGGTGGGGCGTGACTCATCATCCCCGGCGTGAGACACGACTGGTGAGTGGTGACACAGAGTTGAATAGATTTGCACAACACCGACACAGTGACTCCCGACGCCAGGTGACTCGAGAGGTGTGTTGCTGAGGCTGAAGAGCAGAGCATCTACTGTACCGTCATGATCTGTTAAACAGCTTAGAATTTATTAGTAGTAGTATCGTTTTTAGTATTATTACTATTATTATCATTATTAGTATTTTTTTGTTGTAGTAGTAGTAGTAGTAGTTCAGTGTTAATAATATAAATATAGTTTCATTTCACACATTTAGCAATTGATATCATTCGTTTATTAGTCTCTGATAAAATACAGTACAGGTATTTACAGTGTGTCAACGAACAATTGTAGCAACGATCTCGAACAAAACTACAAAGCGCCTTTGAAAGGGCTAACGAGGTGAAGCTGTAGTGTAGGTAATATTGTAGGGGTTTCCAAGAAAATTGAAAATACAATGACCAACAACCGGATGGAAGGATTAAATCAGGAAATCTTGAGATGCTAAGATAGGAGTCAAGAGGGCAGGTAGGAGGCAGTAACAGCGTTGAGGTTATACACACGTACACATAAAGGAAGAGCGGTCAAGGATTGATAACTGGCTGCAGCATGAGGTGGAGTGAAATTGCCAGGGACATTCAGCAAACATGAACATATACCTGGGGAAAAAGTCATACGCCTAGAAGCGCCACGCGAGCGAGGACCACATCTAAGAAGGTGATGGCGGATGAAAACAAATCACTCAGCAAAAAAGGTTCTTTTGTAACTCTATCATGAAAAAGCGGGTGTAGAGCTGATGACGCAGCCCAAAATAGGCATATCATTGAACAAGAATAAGAGTAGAGAGAGTGAAGAAGGAATGTCAGCATCCTGGTAAATGAGCTGTCACATTCCTCCTCATTAAATGTCATGACACTTTTGTTACCTGCAGGTGAGGCAGAGGCAGGGGGGAGAGGCACAGAGAAATGTTGTACTATATGAAACTCTTAAAGGAGAGAGAGAGAGAGAGAGAGAGAGTGGGTGAAACACAAGAGACGACGCGCCATACTGAGACACTTCAGAACTGAGAGATGTGGGGGAGGCCCTACAAACACCTAACACTCAGGCATTGGGGAAGTTGTAGGTGTAGGTAAAAGTGTAGGAGGGAATGAAGATTTAGTTAGGTGTAGGTGAGGATGCATATCTATATCATGCCACTGGTGAGTTATTTATATGATGGAATGGTTAACCAACCTCTGAAGGTCTCCCATCTTGTGGGACTTCCTGACTAAGGGGCGTAGGGGGGGGGGGGTTATTCCTGTATGGGTACTCTTGTGAGGGAACTCCACGTATAGAGAACACAAGACCAGGACACCTCTAAGTGAGCATAAAGTCTTTCCTTGATTACAAACATTTATTACATAAAACATATGCTAGGTACAAACATACAGTTTTTGCAGCTTAAAATATGCATGAAAAAAATCTATGAATTCGTCTACACAATGCTACAACATTCATGCTTCTATCTAGAATGGTCTTCTAGATATGATTTTTCATAATCAGGGAAAGACTTTATGCTCACCCTGTACTGTATGTGTGTGTGTGTGTGTGTGTGTGTGTGTGTGTGTGTGTGTGTGTGTGTGTGTGTGTGTGTGTGTGATGAAGTAGCTACTGCCTTCCAGCAGATGAAACATAACAAAGCCTCAGGGCCTGATGGAATCCCAGCCGAGGTGTATAAAGCAGGAGGACTTCTGCTTACCAGCCGTCTCCACTCTCTCCTGGAGAATATATGGGAAAAGGGTAAATTACCCCCAAGCTCTTAAAGACGCCTCCATCGTCAATGTTTATAAGAACAAGGGAGACCTGTCAGACTGTGGCAACTACCGCGGGATCTTACTGATGTCCACAGCTGGCAAGATTATCGCCCGAGTTCTCCTAAACAGACTTCTTCCTCCCAGAATCTAAATGTGGCTTTAGAGCATCACGTGGCACCACTGAGATGATCTTTGCTAACCGCTGCTGTATGGCAGCGAGACATGGGGTCACATACAAGAGGCACCTCAAGGCACTTGAAAACTTTCACCAACGTAGTCTATGTTCCATTCTCCGGGTTCGTTGGGATGATAAAAGAACAATTGCCAGTATTCTCGCTCACACCAACTGTAGGAGCATCGAGGCTACGATTGTCCATGAAGAACTACGTTGGACTGGCCATGTTTCCCACATGGACGACAGTAAAGTACCAAAGCAGCTACTTTACAGTCACCTAACGAATGGTAAACGTAACGCTGGCGGGCAACTGAAAAGGTAAAAGGACAGTCTTAAGACAAACCTAAAAAAGTGCCAAATCGACCCCCTCGTTTGGGAGATGATTACTCCACACCGTAACGCTTGGAAGAGCACCACACGAGGTGTCAATACTTTCGAATTAGCTCGACTGCATACCGAAGCAGACAAGCGCCAGCCCCGGAAAGACGCTGCCGCCCTTGATGCAGCCGTCCACCCGTGCAGCATCTGTGGACGGCCCTGCCGGTCCCGTATCAGCCTCTTTAGTCACCTCAGAGCTCATCAACGAAGGTGACATCATTAAAACTCATATCATCGTATCATAGCTGGATGATTGTCATACTCGATTCCGAGTGACAGCAAAGTAGTAGTGTAATAATAATAATTAACGGTTTATGTAAACATTCATCAGTACTAGAATTTCTTCACTCATTGTAGCTGTTTTACTTTTTAACTTTCTCTGACTTTCCACGATAATTGACTGAACAAGGCTAAAGATACCTACAAAATGTGATAAAGGCCAGGGGCCCTCGACGCCACTCAGCTCCTTTGAGGAGAAGAAGGCAATTGTGGAGGAGCGCCACTGTTACTGCTGACGCGGGACTATGGTGCGGTAAAGGGACGCTGGCAAAGTATTAATATTCCTCCACATACAAAATTTTCAACTACTTTTATATGACCTGCGTTTTGTCACAGTATCCTGCTCCCCTTGAAAAGGATTTGAATTGTCGTTTTCCTTCAAGTCCTGCATCCCGAAAAGGAACACAGGCGAAGGTGTCATCTGTGCGACCATCCATGTGTCAGTCCTTGAACGAATTTTCCTCTGTGGTTTGTCTAGACACTCTATCTTTACTCTAAATTTTCCGGACATGACGCACACCCTTTGAAATTAAAAAAAAAATCAAAATTTCCTACAGAGAAAAAACTGGACAATTATACACTCATGACGCCCTTTTCAACGATTTCCGTTATTATTTGGCGGGATGTGCGCTGCTGTTAGTTGCTAGAAATTACCATACGAAATAGAGAAGATGCACGCTTCTACCGTTACAGACGAATCCAAGGTTGATCCTCTCACTGCTGACCTTCAACAACCGACAACATATTAATCGGACACTTTTCGTTCATTGATCCACTCAACAACACCGTTAAGCGGATTCTTGTTGCTAATTACTTCAGGTTCAATCTGAGGACCAGGCTGTCAACAGCCCCTGGTAACGTGTTCATTTGCATACAGTCTTCAACCCTCAATTGAATTAAATTTACATTCATCTAGCCCAAACATTCATCACTCATAAAGTAAGATGAAATGCACACACAGATGCTGTTCCACACAAACACACACTATATATATATATATATATATGCCAAACCACATGCAGATGTAAACATGTGTAGATACGAACAAGTAGACACTCCCATAAGTATGTACACATGTGTAGATAAAATTGACAAACTCATATATACACACACGGGTGTCTACACATGTGTACGCATCGGGTGGGAAGGGTGAATGGGGTTTGTGGATAGCTACGGGGTAGGAAGCCAAAAAAAAGTTTCAAAGGTATTTCAAGATGACTGCAAAGTTACCACTGTAAACTCTCTCTCTCTCTCTCTCTCTCTCTCTCTCTCTCTCTCTCTCTCTCTCTCTCTCTCTCTCTCCTGCAACCCATGTCTAAATCTCATGCCTCCACTGTACCCCATAAAACTCCCTTCAGACCTCTTATCTCGCCAATCTAATCCCTAAAATACCATTTTTGTTTCTCTGAACCCTTGATCGAGTTTTTTTGCTGAGCCCCACCTCAGATTATTTTTAAACTTTCTTTATAATATCTAACAAGGTTCATTTTCTATGCTAAACCTCCGCTATTCTCCCTAATAGAACCCATTTCTTCACTAAACCTCCGCTATACTCCCTAATAGAACCCATTTCTTCACTAAACCTCCGCTATACTCCCTAATAGAACCCATTTCTTCACTAAACCTCCGCTATACTCCCTAATAGAACCCATTTCTTCACTAAACCTCCGCTATACTCCCTAATAGAACCCATTTATTTACTAAACCTCCGCTATACTCCCTAATAGAACCCATTTCTTCACTAAACCTCCGCTACTAATAGAACCCATCTTCACTCCGCTATACTCCTAATAGAACCCATTTATTTACTAAACCTCCGCTATACTCCCTAATAGAACCCATTTCTTCACTAAGCCTCCGCTATACTCCCTAATAGAACCCATTTATTTACTAAACCTCCGCTATACTCCCTAATAGAACCCATTTATTTACTAAACCTCCGCTATACTCCCTAATAGAACCCATTTCTTCACTAAACCTCCGCTACTAATAGAACCCATTTATTTACTAAACCTCCGCTATACTCCCTAATAGAACCCATTTTCTAAACTTACTAAACCTCTCGCTATACTCCCTAATAGAACCCATTTCTTCACTAAACCTCCGCTATACTCCCTAATAGAACCCATTTCTTCACTAAACCTCCGCTATACTCCCTAATAGAACCCATTTATTTACTAAACCTCCGCTATACTCCCTAATAGAACCCATTTCTTCACTAAACCTCCGCTATACTCCCTAATAGAACCCATTTCTTCACTAAACCTCCGCTATACTCCCTAATAGAACCCATTTATTTACTAAACCTCCGCTATACTCCCTAATAGAACCCATTTCTTCACTAAACCTCCGCTATACTCCCTAATAGAACCCATTTCTTCACTAAACCTCCGCTATACTCCCTAATAGAACCCATTTATTTACTAAACCTCCGCTATACTCCCTAATAGAACCCATTTCTTCACTAAACCTCCGCTATACTCCCTAATAGAACCCACTTCCCTAATAGAACCTTCATAAACCTCCGCTATACTCCCCATTTCTTCACTAAACTCCGCTATACTCCCTAATAGAACCCATTTCTTTACTAAACCTCCGCTATACTCCCTAATAGAACCCATTTCTTCACTAAACCTCCGCTATACTCCCTAATAGAACCCATTTCTTCACTAAACCTCCGCTATACTCCCTAATAGAACCCATTTCTTTACTAAACCTCCGCTATACTCCCTAATAGAACCCATTTCTTCACTAAACCTCCGCTATACTCCCTAATAGAACCCATTTCTTCACTAAACCTCCGCTATACTCCCTAATAGAACCCATTTCTTCACTAAACCTCCGCTATACTCCCTAATAGAACCCATTTCTTCACTAAACCTCCGCTATACTCCCTAATAGAACCCATTTCTTTAATAGAACCTATTCCGCTATACTCCCTAATAGAACCCATTTCTTCACTAAACCTCCGCTATACTCCCTAATAGAACCCATTTCTTTACTAAACCTCCGCTATACTCCCTAATAGAACCCATTTCTTCACTAAACCTCCGCTATACTCCCTAATAGAACCCATTTCTTTACTAAACCTCCGCTATACTCTCTAATAGGCTTTCACTTTTTTACTTTTTTCCTCTTCACCACTGATCGGCTCGTTAGCCACTAGGGCGGTCGGTCACGTCTCTGTTACTTTTCTCTTTCTTTTATCCTCTTCACCAAATGATCGGCTTGTTAGCCACTTGGGCGATCGGTTACGTCTCTGTTACGCACTGTTGGCAAGTACTGGGCATGCACCGGCTCCTAAATGTACCTGAACCTGCTCCAGTGTTGGTCAAGTCTTGTCTTGAAAGAGCTCACACTCGGTGCCGTCACAACACTTTTTGGTAGATTGTTCCAAGAGTTCACAACTCTCGCCCCGAAAAAGTTTGTTCTCACTGTTTTCTGGACTTGCGGCTTCTTCAATCGTGAGCTGTGACTCCTTGTGGGGCGAGTGTCCGCCAGCTCCAAGTAAGGACACTCGACTGAGTAGTGCCCCTTGAGATGCTTATACACCTCAATTAGGTCACCTTTGCCCGTCTGTAATATAAGCTCGGCACGTTCAGGCGCTCCAATCTCTCAGGGTAGTTGAGGTGCCGAAGTGCAGGCACCAGTCTGGTGGCCCTCCTTTGAACATTTTCAACCAGCTGACAGTCCCTAGCATATCTCGGGGACCAGATGGGGTGACAGTACCCCAGATGGGGAAGCACTTCACTCTTGAAGATCTTTACGAGGGACTGACCGTCTAGATATCTGAACGACCTTCTTATAAGAACCCAGTTATTCACTAAACCTCCGCTATACTCTCTAATAGAACCCATTTCTTCACTAAGCCTCCGCTATTCTCTCTAATAGAACCCATTTCTTCACTAAACCTCCGCTACACTCCCTAATAGAACCCATTTTTTCGCTTATTCTCCGCTATACCTGTAAATCCCCGTTCCACTCCCCTACAACTCGTCAGTAACCCGTGTGTGTCTCCTACTTGTCCTTGCCTAGAGTTGGGTGTCCAGTGGTGCCGGGGTCCTCACTCACCAGGACCTTCCGGCTCTCCCCTACCCTGAAGGACCACCGCCAGCGTCGAGGCATCGCCATGGAGGGGAGACTTAAGGTGGAGGACACCAACCTTGCTTCCTCCACTCTGTAAGTCACCGTATAAGTTGTCTGTGAGTCAGTGATAACTTATTTAAGTCATCAGCGTCGTATATGATTAATTGGGAGCTCTGAAGATGTCTTGAATAAAGACGAAAGCTAAGGTGCTCCGTTGTTTCCATTTTCCCTTGTGATTTTATCAAGATATATATATATATATATATATATATATATATATATATATATATATATATATATATATATATCTGTGAGTTAGTGAGAACCTATTTAAGGAATCTTTGTCTTGTATGAGTCAATAAGAGCTAATCAATCTCATTTAAGATTTATGTGGATCAGTGAGAATTTATCCTCAAGTCTTTAAGGTATTGTATGATTTATTGGGATAATTTCTGGATCACCATGACCTTATCTGGGACTTACACTGAGGCAATAGCTAAGCTACTAAGACGTTCCTGATACCAGCAAACATTTTTTGCTCCACCTAAACCACAGTGTAGTCACTTTGAGTCTTTTTCACTGTCAGAGTTTTAGTCATTATAAACATCAACAACAGAGTTTACTTTGGCATGATGTGCCGGCAGACCTGAACTCCATGAATCACTGCAGGTGTGGTCTCCACGATCATAGTTGGTGCAGCTGATGATATTGTTTATAAGCTTCCACCTTGACAATTTTCAGTTCCACTTGCTCCTTATATGACTTATAACACTCGGATTGATAAATATTCTTTATTGCAGCACAGAGTCAAACCACTGTAGAACCTGAAAGAATGGCTGCTATTTAGCTCAACAAACAGGTAATGTTATCAGGTGGAGGTAGTAACAGGTGTTGCGTATGACAGGTTCACCAACCCAAGCCACCGTGACCAGTTCGGGGTGGTGGTGTCGTACGTGGTGCGCGTCAAGCTCACTATGGGCACCCTGGCCGGGGAGCTCATCGCCGAGGCACCCTTCACACTCATGAATCCGCCCCCTGATGACTACCTGGTAAGTGGCGGGGCTATTTGTATATTGCTGTTGCGACTTCAATTGTTTTATTATTACTGATAACAGTTATGAACTGTTGAACAAGATATCCCAAAATGTAGTTTGTATAGCTATCCTAAATTGCTAGTTATATGAAAGAAATATTATTTCTCTCTCCACGGTTCACAAGATTTACTTCACCAATTTCCACCCACTTCTATAGACGATAACACCAGCACTGTATCGCGCCTCAGGTAACTCACCAGTTAGAGAGGATGTGTCCCTAGTTTGTAAAGGTACCCTTGATATGGCACAGCTCATTGGCTAAGATCCTTTTTACCGACCACAATTAAACTGTGTAATTATCTTTCTGTTGTTGTATTTAATGAGTGTGAATAAATTAAGTACTTTTTTTTATTTTCTTCTTAAATGTGTATTGTCCGGGATAAACCCTGTTCCTGTTCCAGGTTGATGACATTTGTATGTTAAGCTTACATTAACGGTACACTTAATAATAATAATAATAATAATAATAATAATAATAATAATAATAATAATAATAATAATAATAATAATAATAATAATAATAATAATAAAAATATAATAACAATAATATTTAAAAAAATAACACTAATAGTTGGAGAGGGTATAGTTACAGACGTTTGTTCCTGACTGCAGGTTTGGTTTCAGGTGTGTTCCTCACTATTCTACTCGGGCCGTTATTTTACATTTACGAATATTGTGTTACTGTTAATTTTGTTAACTGTTGTGTGATTGTCTATTAAGCTTATGCCTGGTGAACAGCGCCGCCTTATAAAGTGTTATATGTGTTTGTGCAGGCCTTAGTGAAGGACGGGAGGCAGGAGAGCTTAGACGAGACGACGCGGCTGGTGATCGAGGAGTGCCGTAGGATGTCCATGTCCGACCTGCTGATGGGCACCCAAAAGTCACAAGAGTCCGTGGACAAGACCCAGGCGGAGACTCAGGCGAAGGAGGACGAGGTGTTCGCCAAGGAGGCTTCTTACCCGCCACTTCGTGATGAAGAAGCCAAAAAGAAATAGAACATCCACGATGATGGTTCTTGTTTTGATGGTGGGGTTACTTAAGGTGGCGGCACACTGGGCACTTTCCTGTAAACATGTTTGGCAAACATGGTCCGGCCAGCAAAACAAAGAGACGTTTGCGTCACACCAGGATGTTTTGTTGGCGCGTCTGCCCAGCGCAACGAAAACAACAACAAAGCGTCTAGACGAGGTTCGCCATGGATCCCGTTACTACAGTTGAGGCCTTGCAGGATTGTGCTATAGTTCTTCAATTGCTGAAACAAATTAGGCATCTGCAAAGGCTAAAGAAAAGACAATAGGTGCGTCGTGAAGTTTCTTTAAAAGTGGCGGCGGCTGGCTGGTCAAAGAAGACCCTGAATAATGATTTAATAATACTATAAAAGTTTTAAAGTGACGAATAAATAGAATTATGTCACCATTTGTGTGTCATATTTTAAATCATTATTGTTTCATGATTTATTTCAAAATTTTCTTAAAATTATATAAAGCAAAGATCCACACCAAACCGTTGTCCATTTCTCGCAACAGCAGAAATCCTGCTGCTTGTTGGGCCGTAAGGCCAACGCCTAGCAATACGGGCAACCTATTTGGAGAAAAATATCCAGTGTGCCGCCACCTATGAGGTACAAGTGGTGAGTTAACAGTGCTCGAGAAGAACTTTATAAGTACCTGTTTAATTAAGACCACCTACTATAAGATAGTGGACTTTGTAAAAAAATCAGATTTCTCACAGAGACAACGCAGTTTACAGTAAATTTAATTATAAATTCCACCACGGTGGTCGAGTCCTGGTCACGCCCAGGATCATGAAGAATCTGTGGCAGAACTTCAACACCCCTATTATTGTTTTATCATTTTGTTGCCCTTATTATTATAATATCTTATCTATCAGTATTTATTGGAGGCTTCTCCTTTTATACTTCAGAATGGGTGATGCAAAAGTTACAACTGTCCTCTCCTCTCACACTTTCGCCTTCACTCAATCCTTACACTCCTACTCGGCACCTACACCCTCTTGTCTCACCAACTATCTTTTTTATCATTGTAGGCCTTACATACTGTCATCTCCACAAATGCATGCATATTCACTCCTATATTTTACTTGAATATCCTTTCCTTTAATCTGAATTTTCCAGTTAATGTCTCTCACAGCATTCTCCCAACAACACATCCTTCCTTGAAATTCTGCCTCGGCTGCTAACATTCCATTGTCTTCATGTCGCAATTCCGTGTTTCATCAGCAGGCAACACACCTAATACAATAATTCACACTTTATTTTTCCCCCACTTTTCGGTATTCTACTTTAATTTCAGCTATTTATCTGCTCGTTAAATGCAGAATTGACATGCAGTTCTTTCTATTACAGGAGATACTAGTTATATATAGCCTATCTTACCTACTTACGGCAGCTTTCATTCCATAAAATACTTACTACACCCCCACGAATTTCCGTATCAACTGTGACAAACGGATACGTTATACAGTGTACTTGTTTTTGTTTTACAACATAATTTCAATAAACATTCTCATAGTTATCATGTTGAAACAGTGTTGTCTCCTTTAAGTCCTCCAGTTTTAACCATCGTCTTGTGAATCCTTAATTCTCTGTCGCCTCGCCTCTTTTACCTGTAGACTGTCTTGAGAAAATTCCCCTCTCTGTGTGGTGGTTAAGTTAAACGGCCCTTCTGTGCATTCCATTTTACGTATTACTTGAGATATGTTAAACACTTATTTACAACCTCACCCTCATCTCCACGAGCCTCGCTGCATCATCCCTTCTTGTCAATTTGTTTTATTTGTACTGGTATAAAAATACTGCCATCCAGATGTATTGTTCAGCCTCTACATTATATATATATATATATATATATATATATATATATATATATATATATATATATATATATATATATATATATATATATATATATATATATAGTCATTCAAAAAATTTAAATGTTAAGTATGGGTTTATGTCTGTACACTTTGCAAGTTACTTATAAACGTTGGAAATACATTTGACATTACCAAATTTGGGGATATTTAAGTAAACATTTATTCACAGTAAAACAAACAGTGTCTTGGTCAGCAAAATATTGTAAAGAATAAATTGACCGATTTTTACACTGAGATCCACACTTACCCCTTTGTTTTACCCAAGTGAGTTATTCTGAGTTGGTTTTGTTTATGGTTAAAAGGTACAAGAATTTCAGGGGTACGACTGTGGCTCGTAACAGTTGTGGCGATAATACTTGTGAAGACTATTGTATTGTGTTCCCTTTGTGTACAGTGTGAGTAGAATGCATGTTATTTTAGGGTAAAAATTGTGGGAGGCAACGAATAAAAATGTCGCCCATGTTTTATATATGGAGGATCCTTGCTGTATTTACATGGGCGTTAGTATTGTTTATGTAATTTCTCGGCGCATGTGTGTGTGTGTGTGTGTTTGTAACTCACCAATGAAGGTGACATCCTTCTTAACTCATATAAGTGTATCATAGCTGGATGATCGTCATGCTCGATTCCGAGTGACAGCAAAGTAGTAGTAGTAGTGTGTGTGTGTGTGTGTGTGTGATACACTAAATATTATTAGGAAGGAAGTACCGTAACGTATTAAAATCATATTTACCGTGATACCATACTTTACAGTCATGGTGTATTTCAGTAATACTTATGACTTACTATGATGTACACCTTTAGCACACTATTAAAACGATGTATTTCACAAGGTCTCTATACATTACCATGATAAACTATAATGTACTATCATGCAACACTATCATAAGACACCAATGCCATTGTGCTCTACCATGATGTGAACCATGTGGATAACATTGGACAGGACATGATGCATTGATTTAACGTACTATTGTGCATTACCATGATACGATCACCATGATGTAATACCTAGTGTAAAGCTATTTATGTTACTGCAATTATACTTTTTATCGCACTGCTTCTACCATGATTGTATTCAATGTTCCATTTATATGAGGAACTACCATGATGTGTTTTCATGATTTTGTACCATGACTTACTTCAGCGTTAGAGCGCCAAGAAGCAAAAATCATTATAGTACCATTATATCATTCTACACTCCCTTGATATACTAATATGAAAAATTACCATGATGATTTAAGGAGAATTACCATGATATAATTCCTTATTTCTCAAGAGTGAACTACCACTGAATACCATAGTAATATCCTACCATAATATGCCTCCAATAGTACATTACCATGATAGGCCACCATAATATACCATCATGATGTACCCTAGTGATGGGCTGCCATTGTGCACTACCTCGTTCTGCCATTATTTCCTGTAATACTATTATGTACTTCCATGAAACTATCGTGATCTTCCCGTAACACAGCATCATGATATATACAGTACAGTACTCCCATACAGTATCTCACCACTGCGGACCACCCTAGGAACGGAGCGGTAAATGGTACGTGTTGGCGCATTGGCAGAGTAACAGTTATCTTATGTAAAATTAAACATAATTATTGATTTTGAATGTGTAGAATATTAGAGAAAAAATAACGACACTGGCCTGGTTAATGGTTCGTATTATGTTGGCGTTACACACACACACACACACACACACACAAATTCAATCATACATGTAACTCTGTCGTCATATCCAAGTAAAATATTTTTAAATCTGAATTGTACAGCCTTGACAGAACAGTATCTTCAAATAAGAGTCTGGTAACGTGTGGCTTTGTCCACACTGCAGTAAATAGCCTTTCTATTTTGTAACAAACCATATTGCACTAATTAAATTCACGTCATAACAATTCCCATACAACTATGACATAATATACTGTAATAAATAAAAAAAATATATATAACATTTCAAAATGATTTTTCTTAGCCTTTGACATAAATATAGTGGTATACTGTACATTGACGCGTTTGTTATTGTTACGGGAGAAGAGGAGGCTCAGGTCTTAAACCTTTTGCTTAAATACCTATTAAAATACTTCTTTTCGACATTTGTTAGCTTACTAGGCGGTAGGACGGTCGGCCAGTTCTTTGTAGCTCAGGTGGGTTAGTGACCTGTGCCCGGGTGGGCTAATCCTCGTAAAAAAAAAAAAGACAAAAAAGTACTGGGCACGTACTGTACAGGGTCTTGAACGTACTGTACCTGAACATGTTCCAGTGTTAATGTGGCTTAATAACATTCGCTGGTAGATTATTTGAGAAGTTGACAACTATCACTCTAAAAGTTAGTTCTGTCAGTTCGTAGTTTCTTTAACCTGAGACTGTGGCGTCTAGTAGAACAGCCATCAACTAATTCCAGGTATGTACACACAGTAAAAAAAAAAAGTACCGCATATCAAGATAGATTAAAGAAACAAAACTTTCATTCCCTAGAAAGACGAAGAGTGCGGGGAGATGTGATAGAAGTATTTAAGTGGGTGAAAGGAATCATTAAAGGAGATATAGATAAAGTTCTTATAATATCCGAGCAGGATGGGACTCGATGCAACGGATTTAAGTTGGATAAGTTTAGGTTTAGGAGGAAGATAGGGAGGAACTGGTTCACAAATAGGTTGGTAGACGAGTGGAACAACCTTAGCAACTTTGTAGTAAGTGCTGGAACGCTGGAAAGTTTTAAAAGGAGGCTAGATAGATTCATGGATGTTAGAGTAGTTGTAACTCTAGACAGGAGCTGCCATGCACAGGCCAACCGGCCTATTGCAGACTCCTTATTTTCTTATGCTCATATGTGCGCAAAAATGACACCTCCGACGAGTGTGTTTCCAATTCTAAATTTGGATTGAAAAATACATCACGTTTGGGTAGACATAAATTTCTAAATATTTTATATCCATTTTTGTTTCCTAGCTGATGCTAGATGAAAGTATCTTGTTAAGGTAGAGTCTTACTATACTTTTGATGCTGTTTTGGAGCATTACTTTTCTGTTCTACTTTTAGTCACCCAGTTAAGAGCATTCATACATCCTCATTTAAAAAAAAATATTCTTCGTACGAACCCTTTAAGAATTTGAACCTGGATGGCTGGGAGTTACCATGACTGCTCAGCACTGATGGAAATGATATGTAATTAATGAAAAATACCGTTACCTGAGGCGTATAGGGTCAGTTTAATTGATCCTCAATTCAATTCGCACGCACGAGAACCTGACGCATCTCTCAGGCTAAGATATCCTTAACAGGGCAGTGTACCACCATAGAGGAAGTGAACTTTTACTTTTTACTTTTACTTTTATCCTCTTCGCCACTGATCGGCTTGTTAGCCGCTTGGGCGATCGGTCACGTCTCTTTTCATTTATATTCTTCACCAATAGATCGGCTCGCTAGCCGCCCGGGCGATCGGTCACGTCTCTGTCACGCACTGTTGGCAAATACTGGCCATGCACCGGCTTCTGAATGTACCTGAACCCGCTCCAGTGTTGGTCAAGTCTTCTCTTGAAAGAGCTCACACTCGGTGCCGTCACAACACTCTCTGGTAGACTGTTCCAAGAGTTTACAACCCTCACTCCGAAAAAGTTTGCCCTCACGGTTTTCTGGACTTGCGGCTTCTTCAATCTTGAGCTGTGACCCCTTGTGGGGCGAGCGTCCGCCAGCTCCAAGTAAGGACACTCAACTGAGTAGTGCCCCCTGAGATGCTTATACACCTCAACTAGGTCCCCCCTTGCCCGTCTGTAGTATAAGCTAGGCAAGTTCAGGCGCTCCAATCTCTCAGGGTAGCTGAGGTGCCGAAGTGCAGGCACCAGTTTGGTGGCCCTCCTTTGAACATTTTCAACCAACTGACAGTCCCTAGCATATCTCGGGGACCAGATGGGGTGACAGTACTCCAGATGGGGAAGCACTTCACTCCTGAAGATCGTCACGAGGGACGGACCGTCTAGATATCTGAACGACCTTCTTATAAGACCCAATAATTTATTTGCCTGATTTACCTTCTTCTCACAATGGCCCGAGAACTTCAGCTCATTGTCAACATACACACCTAGGTCCTTCTCACACACAGTCTCAACTAGTGCATTTTCTTCATCCCGTTGGGACATATGATACGCCTCCTTACCGTTGGTACGCCCCAGGTGCATCCTCTTACACTTCGTGACATTGAATCTCAGCAGCCATTTCTTCGACCATTCCTGGAGCCCACAGAGGTCCTTCTGCAGCTCTTCACAGTCCGCTTGGTTCTTAATTTCCCGAAATAACTTGCCATCATCGGCAAACATTTGTATGGAGGAGTGTACAACGTCAGGCATATCATTTATGAAACAAACAAACAACAGCGGGCCCAATACACTACCCTGCGGTACCCCACTTGTTACAGGTACAGATGACGATTTCGTGCCATTAATCACCACACATTGCTTGCGGTCATGTAGAAAGTCTTCTATCCACGCTAGGACATTTCCCCGAATTCCGTACCCTTCCAGTTTGATTTTCAGCCTTTCGTGGGGTACACTGTCGAAAGCCTTGGCAAAATCTAGGTAAATATTGTCGATATTACCACCCCGTTCTAGAATATGGGTCCAAATATCCAATACCTTGAGCAATTGTGTCAAGCAAGAGCGCCCCGGCATAAAACCGTGTTGGCAATCTTTTACAAGGTTGTTTCGTAGTAGATGTTCCATCGCTGCATCTCTGATAATACTCTCAAGTACTTTACATATTATGCTGGTCAGGCTCACCGGTCTATAGTTGTTCGTGGAGTGCCTATCGCCCTTCTTGAAGATAGGACTCACATAAGCCACTTTCCATTCACTGGGGACCATTTGTTCATCCAGGCATTTACAAAACAGAATCTTCAGGGGCTCTGCAAGCTCGTTGCACAGCTCCCTTAGCACTCTAGGATGCACCATGTCAGGTCCAGGACTCTTATGGACCTTTAGCCTGGACAGTTTATTTCTAATACCCTCTTCTGTGAACACAATGTGGGTCAGTGCTGTGTCGAACCGTCTGTCCTCAAACGCAGGAAGGTTAGTTGCATCCTCTCTTGTGAACACTGAGGAAAAGAAGCTGTTCAATGCCTCAGCTTTATCCTGGTCAGAATCTGCGTAACTACCATCTTCAAGCCTCAGGTCTGATACTCCTACTCGCGTTTTCAATTTCGACTTTGCATAGCGGTAAAACGCCTTTGGGTTTGACTTGACCTCGCGTGCAACCAGCCTTTGGAACTCCTTTTCAGCCCTCCTACACTCTATCTTTGCTTGGTTTCTGGCTCTTGCATACATCCTCCTGTCTTGCTCATCGTTTGACCCAACCCACGTCTTGAATTTCTGGGTTTTCTTCTTAATTTTGTCGACCGCCGCATGGTTCATGTGTAGGGATCCCCTCGTATTCCTAGAAGCACTGGGTTTGGTCGATCAAATGGGTCATTTTACTAGTTATGATATTCAAAAGTACGCCAACAAGCACTCGCACTTACACATATCGGTAAACACGCACTCAAATAGACAGCTGTTAGTCGGCATGTTTAACAGTTTGCACAAATAAAAAGTTTATGCGAATATAATAGTATTATCGACTTCACTCCAGCGGGGACATTGTGCCAGTACTAATCATTTTTTCGAAGCTGCAACTACTGTAACGGGCAGTAGGATTTGTTCCATTTACAGGTACTTTCTATTTACATTCGGAGGAAGATATCAATATTATAGTTATTGGTGAGTAATAGAGAAACACTCGTTTTTTTAAAGTTACCTCATACTGGAAATAGCCTTTAGTTTATGTATATGGATACCATGTTGTTGATCAGTAATATATATATATATATATATATATATATTTTGGTGAAGAAGATAAATGAAAAGGAAAAGTAATCAGAGACGTGACCGATCGCCCAAGCGGCTAACTAGCCGATCAGTGGCGAAGAGGATAAAAGTAAGTAAAAGTAATAGCCTATGGCCCTGTGCCAAGATTCCGTGTCAGCCGTGTTAACCTCAGGTCGGGAATCAACGGCCGGGAACTTTTAAACTTTCGAAGTTTCCAATATATTGTTACTTTCATTAACTCATTACAATATTAAACGATTCTAAAATTGATCACTACGTACACGATCTAATATTATTTCTATAAAGAATAACTGGATAGTATCAATTACATTAATTTGTTTTCCGATAACCAGTACCACTCATTGTGTAGTTGACAGGTTCATACTTATAAATATTTTGTTGATTTAATAATCGTTATAGTAATAAAAATAAAATGAAAAAAGAAACCTGTGACCCCGAAAACTACATTATATGTATTTATTGTAATTTTTCCTCGTGTCACTACCTGTCATTTAATATTTCATTATAGAGGATTAAAATTGAGAGTGTAAATTGCAGTTGTCAAGTCTAACTACCATTATCAGGTTTTATTTTCAATAACGCTCTCTTCGTTTAACCGTTGTGTTACGTACACCTGTTATAGTGTGTTTTCATTCTTCTGTTAGTTAATTTTGTTTACTGTGGTATAAATGTGGTGAAGACAGGGAGTTGAGGAAGAGTGTTGTTAGGTAAGCTCAGGTTTGGAAGTTACTCGGCGCTTCACTCGCTGGTCCTGAACGTTTCTGTGGCAGCCTATCGATGCTCACTTGTTCCCTTGTGTTTCCAGCCATACTCCAGCGCTTCTCCGCAGTCTGATATGTTTACACTCCTCTCCGTTTAATCATTAACTAATGGGTTATTTTAACCAATAATATAAGTGAGTATGGATGCCAGGGGACCCTTAATGTGGCCATGAAAGAGTATTTTATTCAGATTCAAGTGCTGGAAAGTTGCGCAAGGCGGCCGTTGGCGTTCACTTCAGTGTGATGATAAACAGCTGATTTTGATTTTGATTCTTGCATGGTAACTCGATTGTTCCTGACAGAAACAGTGCTATATATCACAGGTGACATTCTGAAGCTACCTGAAATATACGGAAAACATTATTGGTAGTGGATATTGTAAATAAGTAGGAAACCTTGACATTATACTTTCTCAAAATTATGAAACCCAAGTAAGTTGTGTTTGCATAGAGTTTGGACCTTTCATTTTCTTCTTGAGGCATGAGAATTGAAATTATTTAATCCTCCCATCGTAAGTATAACCGCTGTAATGCAGTTTTACCATGGGTAAATTTATAGTAGTTCACACAACTGTTAGGAAGTCAAAACTATGTTTTTCTAGTGTATTTTTGTGCGTTGTGATTGGTTCTGATCATGATATCCGTCGGAAATTGACCTCAACAAGATCGGGTTAGGGTCATCTCGTACCCACGCCGACTCATACGTGAGATAACTCGTACCCAACTCAGGATACAAGTCGCACCCAAGATTACTTGCACTCAATTCAAGAGGTAATCCATACCTATTAGTAACTATACCATGCATTTTAGCTTTAACAATGATTAAAAAAAAGGTAAATTTGCACTTGTACACCTCACTCTGTTAGAAAGTAAAAAATATAGTTTTCTAGTGTATTTGTGTGTGTTTAGACCGAATATGACCTTCATTTCCGTCGGAAATTGGTCTGGTTTTTTTTTATCGATTTTTTTTTTGTGGGACGTTTTCCGAAAAAGAATAATGGCTAAGCGAATAAAAAATACACCAAAAAATACTAGAAAAAAACCCAAACCTAACTGACTCTTACCATATGATGGAATCACCTATTTCTTACCTTATTGGCCTGGTTCTTGTTCGTGGTTGGATTCTGAGATTCTTACACAATGCCATATGTTGGTCTTTGCGATATTTACTGTCTTGCACTTAGGACACTTTACTGAGGTTGGAAGAACACCATGTGATCGAAAAAATACTATAGTTTCTTCGTTTTTTCCCAAAAACTCGCAGTCAGCTCCATATAATTTAAGTGACGCCCATCACAGACTTCCATGGTTGGAAATGAATATGAATTTGGAAATATGAGGCCCAAAATAAAAATAGATTTTGATTGGGCAAAAAATACCGCAGATTAAACAAAAAATCGTTTTAATTTGTTGCCAAAAAACCGGTTTTGATTGGTCGCGTGACGTGAACGGGAACGCATGCGCGTGATGAATTATGAAGGAGACACGCAGTGTGGGAGGTGAGGTAGGCGATAATGGTGGAAAATTAATGGAAGAAAATAGAGAAAATTTTGGATATGCTATCTCCGTTATTATACATTTGTGATGGTAATGTAATAGATGAAAATTATCTTATAATTAGACGTCTTATTAGAATATGATAATAGATTAGTGGTAGGAATGTTGGGTGTGAAAATGCAATAATACAAAAAAAATATTATGTAAATCTTGCAGGAAAGTGCTGTGAAATGTAATGCAGCTCTTTAAAATGGTTGCATCACATAACATAAGTATGTTATTTTGTCGCACAAACATTGCTTTACAAGTACTGAACTTGACAAGCGCTGAAACGATACTGGAGCTATGAAACGAATGCACTCGCATAGGATTAGTGGACCTACAAAAACGAGAGATTAGCACGGTCAGTGACCCAGGCGGCATCCCTTCGATGATTCGACGTCACGTATGCGATAGTCACGTATCACAATGTTGCCGAATAACCTGACTGTGATACATGACTAACGAAGGACGTGACGTAGGATGATCAAAGGGATGCTGCTTTGTAGCTTGGAAGTTCTGCAGTCTACTTATATGCCAAGAATAGGCCTAATTCAAACTTTTAACCTGAAAATAATAGGGTATGGGTATGAGTTGCTCAGAACCCAACAAGATAGGGGATCCTGTTGGGAACCAGGGTTTTGGGTGGGGTAGAGAAACAAGCATTTTCCGACAAAAATCATGTCCAAGTGAATACAAAATACACCAAAAAACACTCGAAAAACATAAACCTAACCTAACCTGGGTTAATATATAGGACTAACCCATGAGAGTTATTTTTATTAGTTTTATTTTCTTACAATATTTTCATCAGCTCTGATATGATAATCATTTATTGTGGAAATTGTTCGTTTCATAGATAATTAGGCGCCTAGGCACACAGTTTATATTGCGGGCGGTAATGAGGCAGTGCTCTGCTAAGGGGCTTTCCCATGCCCTGGGCAGTTTGTTTTTTAGCATGTTGTGTGAAGATTGTTGCTGATCTTACATTGACTTAATTTGTGAATTAGACGTCTTTTTTTAATCATAAAAGATTTGGAGTAGGAATGTTGTGTTAACTACTATAAAAATACCTTACCATGTTCCGTTAGACCTTCAGTCTTCCACTAAACGGTTGTGGTAACAATAATGTAATGTTGACACTCCTAAACTAGCAGTTTTTAGAAAATTGCTTATAGAATATTATTTACGGCTACTCCTCGACTTATGACATATTCGACCTACGGCCACCCGGACATATGACCGCCTCAGTCGTACCAAAATTTTGTCAAATTACGTATTTTTGAGTCCCAACGTTAGTGATTGCCCTGTGTACTGACAAAATTTTCGTTTATAATTCACTGTAAAATGGCTGGCAAGCTTAAAAGTGAGAGTTTTGTGGTGCTGAGAAAAAAAAAAGACACTCATTTTAGATTTTCTATGTATTATTTAAGCATTTTCGTCTTATGACCAATTCGACTTGCGACCTGGATTTGGGTCCCTTACCCCGTCGTAAGTCGAGGAGCAGCTGTACTTGAATCTACAGTACTTCTAGTTACTGGATCGTATGTGGAAACTGAGAATGGCATGCTTTAGAAAATGGTAAGTAGGCCATGACCACTGTTCCTTCGGCACCAGTGAATTGACAAAGACCATGACTGAACTTTTTTTATTGAAAGGGGTAATATTGATGACTGACCCACCGCTGATTTTTTCATAGAAAACGAGGCTAATATGGCGGACTTCACAGCCGACGCATTATTTTTATATTTATATTCTTACTATATTTTCATCACTGAGTTCTGATATAATAATAAATTTTGTGGAAATTGCTTCATTTGGTAGATAATTAGGCAACTAGGCACACACTACTTTGTCTTTCTTGGCATGATATGGCAGTACACAGCCAATCATCTCCAATTGCTACCAGTCACCATTGTATGTTTATGAGCCACACAGATCGGGCGGCTGCTCTCGCATCCACAAAAAAAATTTAAAATTACACCATATAATAGTAAGCTCTTTCTGTTTAATATGCCAGGGGGTCTGGAGGGTTGAGCCTCACAGCTAGTAAGTTAGGTTGGTGAGGTTTTCTAACAACACTTCTGCTGGTTGTTTTTCTTGTCAACTAAGGTTAGGTTAGGTTTAATTTAGTAATAACCACTCTTTTAACTCATTTTCCATAACTTTGACAGTGTAATTTTCTATAACTATGACAGTATCCACTATAAAACACATTGAAATTGCAGCATTTTTAAATTCATTTTCAATGAAAATCAGTGGCTGTGAAGTCATAAATAATTACCAAAAATGATTTTTAAAGTGTTGCAATTTCACTATGCTCTATAGTAGACACTCATAGTTTTGACAAAGGTGTTTTAAAAGTGTTTATTTCTCTTGACCTAACCTTGGTTGATAGGCAGTGGGTATTTTGCCGTGACCGGTTAAGTTCCTGCTAGCATTATTTTACCATGAGTGTACTCTGATTAACGAACATATTGGCGGTAAATTTGCAGTTTCAGCCCCAACTGCTGTTTACCATAAATTTTGGAGTTATCATCCCCCTTCCTCTCCTAACCTAACAAACCGAAGAAACCTATCCAAACATACCTAACTTCCTAGCTGTCCCCACCATGTTAAACAGAAAGTACTTATTTTAATATCTGGTACAATTACAGAAATGTGTTCTTACACCCCTTGTGGTAACCCGCATCTCCAAACGGCCAACCTATATGACCTGTAGCAAACCTATCCATCAAGCACGTCCATCGTTACATGACCAATGCTCATTCATTCATATAAACAGTTATACTACTACTGCAATGTTGCTGTTTGGAGGCAGGGATTACCGCGGGGCGTAGAAACACATTTCTGCAACTGTACCAATGAAAGCAACTTTGCTGAAGTATCATGGTGTCATTTTATGTTTTTTGTGGATGTGAGAGTACGCACAGACGTAGCAGGTCAGATGTAAGCAAACTAATGACACCCAAGGACTGCAGATTTGTGTTTATTTCTTACATGAATATACTACAGTATCTTGGTTAATATCCATTTGCGACGGAAGTGGTATTAGAAAAGGTTGTTCCTGTTGGCGAGATATAACTAATAGTAAACACAAAATTGCTCTAACCGAGTTGGGGCTGAAACTGAAATACTGTAATACCCAAAGCGCACTCACAGTAAAATAGCATTAGTAGGAACTTAGCTGGTCACGGCAAGATATCCACTACGTAGTTAAGAAATACAAGTGACAATGATGTTACAAGTCCTCACCAACCAAACCAAAGAAACCTACCTAACCTTTCCTAACTTCCTAGCCGTGGGGTTGTCCCTTGGCATAATAAACAGAAAGAACTTACAATAATATGATGAAATTAAAATTTTTTGGGTGGATGTGAGAGCAGCCGCGTGGACTGTGCGGCTCATGGACCTACACTAGCATCGATCGGAGCATCAAAGTAATTGGCTATTTACATCCGGGATACAGCATCACTGCAGCATTACCAATTTGATTTTTGATTTTGCCGCTTACAGCGGCTACTTTATTGTGCACCCCACACTCATCCTGTGAGCGGTAGCGCAAAAGGATTACAGAGTAGAGTTTACAAAGGGTCGTAATAATTAACCCCCGTTGTCAGGATATTATGGCACTGAATGTTACACAGTATTTCATTTACATTATTTGTTTAGTTCTATACATAAAGGGTAACTTATTCACAAATGCGTGAGTACAGGCGTGTGAAGCAGTATGTGTGGCCTCACACTTTGTTATTCACCTTTGCGTGAGAGGTATTCAAGCACATTGCGTATTTGGTTCTGTACAAGAGAATTGATATAGTTACTGTTACGAGTTGGGGATTTAGAATATAGTTAAAAGTCTACCCAGATCCCAACAGGCAACAAAAAAACAAAAA